AACTCAGGAACACGGCAAGGCTGTCCACTCTCACCATACCTCTTCAATATAGTGCTTGAAGTTCTAGCAATAGCAATAAGACAACATAATGGGATCAAGGGGATTCGAATTGGAAAGGAAGAAGTTAAACTTTTGTTATTTGCAGATGATATGATAGTGTACATAAGCGACCACCAAAACTCCACCAAAGAACTTATACAGCTGATAAACAGCTTTAGTAATGTGGCAGGATACAAGATCAACTCCAAAAAATCAGTTGCCCTCTTATACACAAAGGATAGGGAAGCAGAGAGGGAAATCAGAGAAGCTTCACCATTCACGATAGCCACAAACAACATAAAATATCTGGGGGTAAATCTAACCAAGGAAGTGAAAGATCTATTTGACAAGAACTTTAAGGCATTGAAGAAAGAAATTGAAGAGGATACCAAAAAATGGATGGACCTCCCTTGCTCTTGGATTGGGAGGATCAACATAGTAAAAATGGCAATTCTACCAAAGGCAATTTATAGATTCAATGCAATCCCCATCAAGATCCCATCAAAATTCCTATCAGATCTGGAGAAGACAATAATCAACTTTATATGGAAAAACAAAAAACCCAGGATAGCCAAAACAATCCTATACAATAAAGGATCTTCTGGAGGCATTACCATCCCTGACTCCAAACTCTATTACAGAGCTCCAGTAATGAAAACAGTGTGGTACTGGCATAAAAACAGAGAAGTCGACCAATGGAATCCTATTGAAGACCCGGATTTTATCCCACAAACCTATGAACACCTCATTTTCGATAAAGGAGCTAAAAGTATGCAATGGAAGAAAGAAAGCATCTTCAACAAATGGTGCTGGCACAACTGGATGTCAACCTGTAGAAGAATGAAAATAGACCCATATCTCTCACCGTGCACAAAACTCAAGTCCAAATGGATTAAAGACCTCAATATCAGCCCGAACACACTGAATCTGATAGAAGAGAAAGTGGGAAATACCCTACAACAGATGGGCACAGGAGATCGCTTCCTATGTATAACCCCAGAAGCACAGACATTAAGGGCAACATTGAATAAATGGGACCTACTTAAACTGAGAAGCTTCTGTAAAGCAAAGGACATGGTCACTAAGACACAAAGGCAACCTACTGACTGGGAGAAGATTTTCACCAACCCCACAACAGACAAAGGTCTGATCTCCAAAATATATAGAGAACTCAAGAAACTAGACTTTAAAATGCTAATTAACCCAATTAAAAAATGGGGCACTGAACTGAACAGAGAATTCTCAACAGAAGAAGTTCAAATGGCCAAAAGACACTTAAGGTCGTGCTCAACTTCCTTAGCAATCAGGGAAATGCAAATCAAAACAACTTTGAGATATCATCTTATACCTGTCAGAATGGCTAAAGTCAAAAACACCAAGGATAACCTTTGCTGGAGAGGCTGTGGAGGAAGGGGTACCCTCATCCATTGCTGGTGGGAATGCAATCTTGTGCAACCACTGTGGAAGTCAGTGTTTCGGTTTCTCAGGAAATTCGGGATCAACTTACCCCTGGACCCAGCAATACCACTCTTGGGAATATACCCAAGAGATGCTTTATCAAATGACAAAAGCATTTGTTCAGCTATGTTCATAGCAGTATTATTTGTAATAGCCAGAACCTGGAAACAACCTAGATGCCCTTCAATAGAAGAATGGATGAAGAAAGTATGGAATATATACACGCTAGAGTTCTACGCTGCGGTAAAAAACAATGACTTCTCGAATTTTGCATGCAAATGGATGGAAATAGAAAACACTATCCTGAGTGAGGTGTCCCAGACCCAAAAAGATGAATATGGGATGTACTCACTCATAATTGGTTTCTAGCCATAAATAAGGACCACGGAGTCTACAAGAGGTGAACCTAAAGAAGCTAAGTAAGAAGGTGAACCCAAGGAAAAACATATAGTTGTCCTCTTGGCTAAGGGAAGTAGACCAAATTTCCGGGGAGAAAATGGGATCTTGGGGATGGGGTGGGATGGGGGTAAAGGGAGATGGGGAGAGAAAAGGTAGAAGGGAAGGAGGGGGGACCTGGGAAACAGGAGAATTGGGATAAAGGAAAGGTGGATAGGGGAGCACGGAACCACAATTCTTAGTTAAGGGAGCCAGTTTAGGGTGGGCAAGAGACTTGACCCTAGAGGGGCTCCCTAGTGCCCAAGATGAGGTTCCCAGTTAGTTCCTTGGGCAGCTGAGGATTGGGAACCTGAAATGACCCTATCCTAGAGCAATACTGACGAATATCTTGCATATCATCATAGAATCTTCATCTGGTGATGGATAGAGATAGAGACAGAGACCCACACAGGAGCACTGGACTGAGCTCCCAAGGTCCCAAGGAGGAGCAGAAGGAGGGAGAACATGAACAAAGAATTCGGGACCACGAGGCGTGCATCCACCCACTGAGACAGTGGAGCTGATCTACGGGGAGCTCACCAAGGCCAGCTGGACTGTGACCGAAAAAGCATGGGATAAATCCGGACTCTCTGAACATGGCGAACAATGAGGGCTGATGAGACACCAAGGACAATGGCAGGGGGTTTTGATCCTACTTAATGTGCTGGCTTGTGGGAGCCTAGCCAGTTTGGATGTTCACCTTCCTAGATATGGACGGAGGGGGGAGGACCTAGGACTTACCACAGGGCAGGGAACCCGGACTGCTCTGTGGACTGGATAGGGAGGGGGGGAGAGGAGTGGGGGGAGGGGGAGAAGGGTGGGAGGAGGGGGAGAAGGGTGGGAGGAGGGGGAGGGAAATGGGAGGCTGGGAGGAGGTAGAAACTTGTTTTTTGTTTATGTTTTTTTTTCTTCTTTTCGCAATAAAAAAAAAAGATAGTCTTACTGACTTAGCTTTAGATACAAAAACCTTACAGCTCTTTTAAGAGGCCCTACCACCAAACACTTAACTGGTGTTCATGACAACATCCTTCTTGGTGGTGGCAGGGAGCTTGAAACTCCATAGAATTGTGGCAATAAATAAGGTTTCCACCAGTATCTATGCCATGAAGCTAGACTCTCGTAAAGCTAAGGAATGGGCTGGATCCAGCCATCAAAGTCATAGCTTTAATCTTAGCCATATCACTTAGCAAATTAAAGACTCATATGATTAGACAAAGAGAGATATACAGTAAAGATACATCCAGATGCAAAAACCTCTAAACTGTTTACAATGTGTTTAAAAATATATGTAGCCTTGGGAGAGAAAAATAAAGGACAAAATCCTTTAAAAAAATAAATAATAATTAATAAAAAAGAACACTTTAAAAAAAAACAACAGCCTACATATGGGAAAAGATCTTCACCAACCCCATATCTGACAGAGAGCTGATCTCCAAAGTATATAAAGAAATCATGAAACTAGATATCAAAGTACAAAATAATCAAGTTAAAAATGGGGTACAGATCTAAACAGAGAATTCTCAACAGAAAAGTCTCAAAAGGCTGAAAGACATTTAAGGAATTGCTCAACATCCTTAGTCATCAGGGAAAGGCAAATCAAAATGACTCTGAGCTACCATCTTGCACCAGAATGGTCAGAATGGCTAAGATCAGAACCACATCACACTTCTCTCACTTGGGCTGGCTCTACACCCTGTTAGCAGCTTTCCTCAGCAGCTATCACATGGCTCTGGCATCTCCAACAGCCTGGGATCTCTGAGGCAATCCAGGATTGACTTTCACAGACTGACACAATGGCCTCTCTAGGCCTCCATGCAGTGACACCCATGTGCCTGGCCTCAGCAGCTTTTCTCAGTCACAGAGGGAGATTCTATAACCTTTCTTCTAACCTTCATCTAAAGCTAGAAACATGTGGCCAAAGCTGCCAAGTTATGCTGCTCTCTGGGGCTTGATTTGTTTCCTAATTCAATGACATCTTCACAAGATCTCTGTTTTCTCTGATTTCCTTCATTACCAAAGCTCAGCTTTCCTGGAAATAAGTGACAGGGAGGAGAAAGTCTATTGAGAGTATACTGTATGAAAAAAACGAGTAGATTTTATTTTTATTATCAATAAAAGAACAAACTAAGTGAACGATGGTGTTGCATACTTGTAATCCCGAGCTGGAGAGGCAGAGAAAAATACCCAGGATATCATCTTGTCCTATTTGGCAATCCACAGGTCACTGAGAGACACTATCAAAACCAAGGTGAGTGCCTTCTGAAGAAAAATAGCAAACGCTGTCTCCTGTCCTCAACATACACATTCACACATATCATTCATCTGTGCACACACACATGCATACACATGTACAGAAAAATCACACTGTACATCATATATAAATTATTTTTGTTTCACTAATAATATGTCAGTATTGATGAAGTGCAAATACACAGACACATGAAATTTTCATATAAGACTCATTAAGTAACTGTGGTAAAAAGGGAAAATTTAAATTCACAGTATTTTTTGTGGATCCAGAGAAACTACACTTAGGAAAGGGTATTAAAGCTACAAGAGGACATTTAAACTATTTTTGATGGCTGAGAGTAGATTAAATTCCTTTCAAAGAAAAATGCAAAAAGTCAGCATCAGCAAGGAACTTTCTTTGAGTAACCTCAGCATCAGGGAACATTTATGATGTAAAATAAAGAGGAGAGACTAAGAGAACTCCTGTGGAAATTTCAGCACATGGTATATAGTGAACTTAAAAAATCTATAGCACTTGGCAGCAAAAATATCACAAGAATGTCTATGTGTAATACCACAAATTTTATTTTAATTATTAAGAATCTTGGTTTGCTACTTTAGCTATTACAGAGTTTAAGAAGAATAAGTTTTTGGAAAAATTAGATGTGGTTGCACCAGAATGAAGCCTCACAAAAATCTGTCTGTATTTCCAGCTCACAGGGGCGAGGACAATGGCCTCTTCTGACCTTGTGGGCACCAGTAATTCACACATGCATACATGCTGACACAATACTCATAAATATAAAAATACTAAACCATTTTATTAAAAACGTGAAAAATTATCTCTTTTTGAAAATATGGTGGAACAAAGATTGCATGTGTTTCTTCATATTGGTTATTCTGTTATCAGAACTGATTTGTACCAAAGGAGTAATTGTGGGATAGACATTCATCACAAACTTCTGAACACTCAGGATGACTGGGTCGTACATCCGTAATAAAATTGCAGTGGATGAGATGATGAAGTCCACCCAGTACATGACCACAAAGGAGACAACCAGCAGCAAGATGGTCTGGGTGGCCCTTTTCTCAGGAGATGCTCTCAGATGGCTGAGGCTGTGAAGATGCTTATGTTGCCTCTGATGTCTGAGCAAGATGATCACCATGTATGCACTTGTGGCCAGCATAACTCCTACAAGAAATACATCTCTGGAGGTTGCCACTGTTAAAATCAATGCCCTGATGATGTGGTTCATGGAGAAGAGTGAGCAGAATTTGGTGACCTTCATCTGTTTGGTTTCACTCACATTGGAAAAAGAACCAGAATAGATTATTCGGTGACAGGTGAATGACAAGTTGAAAGACCAAATAAGTAAGAAAGCAGAAATCATGTATTTTTTAAGTTTATATTTAAATTTATTCAACAAAGAGGAACTGGGACTGATAGTGACAGCCTGGAACACACCCAGGAGGCAGGTGATACAGATGGACAGGCCTCTCATCACTCTGTTTATGTAAAAAGTTGTCTTACATTTGAAGTCATTATCAATGTTTAGTGACTCAAATATGTCTGTAAGCCAAATATCCGCTCCAGTGATGAGCAGCACTATGTGGATGAAGGTCAGGTGACAGGAGATCATGTCCGTGGGCTTAGGTCTGTGACACAGAATTATGAAAGTGTAGAAAACAAGGAGAAATATATTGGCCAGGACTCCAAATCCACATTGGAAATTAAGGACAATCCTTAATGAGGACATATGTAGAAATTCTGTTCACCTTAAGAAGATGAAATTAAAAAATTATATTTATGCCCTGGCAATGCTGAAGCATGCATGAGTATCCCATATGTGGTGGTTCTGTTGACCTTGCTTATATTAGGTTTCTTTGTCTAAGTTGATGAGGACGACTGACCAGGTATCCTCCCCAAGAGGGCACCAGATCCCAATACAGATGATTGTGGAGCCCTATTGCAAATATCTAAAAAATAATAGAGTATTCACCAAACTTTTGTTTCACTGGTCAGTATATCTATATCATCATTCTCTTTTGCCTATTTATTCTTGATGAACCCATCTCTTTAATTTTTGAAGTTCCACATTACACTTGGCCTATGTTTCATTTTCTCTCAATATATTTCCTGGCTATACAGCATTCTCAGCCACATCCGACACAGAATGCACACTTCATGTGCCTGTATTGCACCTAGACCTCACGCCTTAGAAATTGAATCCTACTGATCTGACTTACAGTGCCTTGTTTTATAGTTAATACTGAAAACATCAGTGATGAGAATAGAGGAGCATAATTTTGTACAACTTATTAAGAACTAATAGTATTGATTCCTATGGGTTTTTAATCCATTCCTTGTTACTTTACCTACGTATTCCATCTTCTGTATATATAACCTCCTCTTTAACTATAATCTTCCATTTTCTCATTTTCCCTATCAAATCAATGGTCTCTTGCTTACTCCCCTGTATCTTCCTCCCACCTTCTTCTGTATGTACTTCCCTCCTCCCTGATGAGGAGCCCACCCTTTCCCATTTCCCTGATAAGATCGATTGTACCCTGTTATTTTTCTCTCCTTTGCTACCCACGATCAACACCATCTTGGCCATGGCCCCATTTTGCTTTCCTGATATCTGTAGTTTACACAGGTAAATACTCACATCTGAAGATGTGGAGCTAGGAGACCCCTACAAGAGAGAGCATGTGACACTAAGACAAACACTGCTTAACACATTGTGACAAAGATGACCACGTAGCGATCCTGTTTCAGAATCTCTGTTTTAAAAGACATTCCTTCCCATGCATTGGAAATCAAGGTCCCCACTGTAATCATATATTGTCAACACAAAGACAGTTTTTATAATTTCAACAAAAGTCTTAGCTTTGGTGCTTTTGTTAGTTATTTAATCTGGGTATCTTTAAAGATTTTTTTATCAAATTAGCATAATTTGTTACTTTAAAATCAACTCTGTAATAGAGAACTAGAAAACTATACCAACTAAGATTCTTGTGAGAAAGAGTGCCTAATTGTATTTTCACATTCACTTTTATATTCCATATATATGTTCATGCATGAATATATAGAAATAATTCAGAAGTCAGTAAACGAGACCACGCTATAACATCCCCATGAATATGCCAACAAAAATCATACATTTTACATATATACATTATGTTTGGTCTTAAAAAGCTTTATCTACTGCCAGGCGGTGATGGCGCAAGCCTTTAATTCCAGCACTTGGGAGGCAGAGGCAGGCAGATCTCTTTGAGTTTGAGGCCACCCGGGTCTACAAGAGGTAATTTCAGGACAGGGTCTAAAACTACAGCGAAGCCCTGTCTTGAAAAACAAACAAACAAACAAACAAACAAAACAACAAAAAAGCTTTATCTAGTAAAGGCATAGATTCAATTTAATTGCCAGAGCCAAACATATGATCTCCCACCAACTGACGGTTACAGTAGCTGCACACTGGTGTTCTGTTTTTTTTTTTTTTTTAAAGTTCCAGTTCACAGGCTGGAAAGATGGCACAGTGATTCAGAGCATGTTTTTCTCTTGCAAATGACCTAGGCTAGATTCTCAGCAAAGACATTCATAACCATCTGTAACTTGAGTTATAGGACTCTATTGCCTTCTCTGATATCGCAAGCAAGTGGTTCACAGGTGTACATGCAAGTAAAACACGTATATGTGGAAAATAAAATAAGTAAATATTAAGAAAGGAAGGAAGGAAGGAAGGAAGGAAAGAAGGAAGAAAATGTGTCATCTGATTTATTAAGGATAACAATTAATTCAAGACTTGGTCTCTAACCTGAAAGAACTGTAGCACATTCCAATTTTAAAATTGCTAATGGACAAACTCTATATGTATAATCATTTTTATTAACTACACCTCTATAATTTATGAATAAGGCAATGTATTATAAACAAAATAAAAAGATGTTAATAGATGTTAAAGATGGTAATAATTTTTTTATCGCAAAGGTTTGAACTTAAATGTCTCTACTTCACACCATTTGCCTAGTAAATATTTGTCACCTACCCTTTCTTATGTGGCATCTTTTTCTGGGGTGTACTAGAGTTGCGACTCGACCAGAAAAATCACAGCTAACATGGCTAGAATCTGTAACTCGAGTATATACATAAACTGAGAAACATCATTTGTTTTATATAAAGAAAATGTAGTGCTTGGGCATTCACATTAGTTTAAGTTGTACTTAGTGGTAAAGATTAAACAGGAGTGTTTTCATAAACGTTCAAAATAGTACGGATGCCGTCACTATTAAAGGGCTCCAGACCAAAAGACTGGGCAGACAGCTGTTGAAGAAACGTGCAACAACAACAAAAACAAAAACAATGAGCTGTTTCCTCATAACTCTACATTCCTCTGAGAAAAATCATTTTCCCCTTCATTATCACAGCACTTGATTTTAGAGCAGTCTTGTTTAATGAATTTATGGTAGTCTTTGCATTCTTCTCTGAGGAGATAATAACACAATGAACATAAAAAACATACTGGATCAAACGTATCATTTTCATTTTAAGTTTTACCATATTTAATGAGCAATGACTTAAAAGCAGTGTGACTACTCAGAGAGAACATGGAGTGATTGTGTGACTTTTAGATGACAAGATACGTGGTGTTGGCTGATGTACTGTCCACTGTCAGCAATATTAACAAGTCTTCAGGAATCTCAGGAAGATGAGGGTCTTAGCCACTCAAATGAGTTCCATGAGCGGATCTTTATGAAATACATAATTCCAGCAGGAACAAATAGTGACTACCTTTTAATAAGGTATTAATTCATAGCTATTACCTGATACACTTACATAATTAAAATGAGTAAGTTATAATTTACGAAATAAATTTAGCTCACTGGCAACATATAAGTTACTCTTTAGAAATCGAATGTAACTCACCTGCCACTGGAAGCACACAGACGCTCACTAGAACTTTACAGTCTCAAACTTTTGAGCCAGTTCCCCTGCGATGAAGCAGCAGCAGCAGCAGCAGCAGCAGCAGCAGCAGCAGAGGAAGAAGTGTCACTGCAGAGCCTGTGGGGAAGCAGTCAGACCCAGAGCTCAATCACATGTCACATGGTGTAAGTGTGGGAAAGACATGAACATGTTTACTGGAAAATGTTCAATGAATGAGTGTGTGTGTGTGTGTGTGTGTGTGTGCATGTGTGTGTGAAATGGCTACCTGGACTAAGAACAGATCAATAGCACATCGTGTGCTGGGGCTGCTCTCATGAGTAAATGAAACAGCATTGAGTGAAAACAGAGTTATATCAAATATATTTCTAAAATAAAATCTCTATTTCCTAGGTGACTTGATCAAATCAATGAAGTTCCTGCCTAGTGCGTCAGCATCAGTGTAGATTCTTGAAGAGAATTACACAAAACAAACTGAAAATTTTGTGATGCTTGCAAACAAACTCATGCTTCCATCATTTGCTTTTCACTGTGTGGATGCTCTGTGTCTAGTGAGTAAGTGACATTTATTGGCATCCTTTTATTCCATTTTAAAAACAATGATTTCACAATTCTACAGAATCTCTTTCCCACTATAATGCTGATGTATTTGTGTGTGGGAAAAAGAGATGGAGATTGAGGGAGCAGCTCAACCTTAGTTCAGACGGACTTCAGTCGAACTCACAGAAGCTCCTGTGGTAGCCTTCAAAGTGCTGGGTTTATAGGTGTGTGCCTGACTTCACTTTCCATTTGAGTCTCCTGTATGTATCAGTAAATGATATTCCAGCAATATTAAAATGGACTTAGGACATTCATCAGCTAAACTTAAATTTACTTGTCATATTTTGAATATGTATATTTTAATGAACAATTGTCTTTTGAAATTTTTAAAAAAACTTTGGGTATTTTGACTTTAAATATTTGATACTAGTAATTCAAGAACTGAAAATACTTTTACTGTTAATGAAAAGCTACTCCATATTATAACAGTAGCAGTGTAACAATTTTCTACTTAGAAAACATTAAATATTAAAAATGGATTCATTTTATATTGAAACACTCAAACTCCTACGAAAAATTACACAGTTTACATTTTTGTAAAGTAACATTAAAAGAATTTGTATAGATTGTTTTGTTTTTTAGAAAAATAAAATACAAAGAGAAAAAAATAATTTAATGAATAAGTGAGGTAGGGGTCTAGATGCTTTTGAGATAACCAAAAAATATACACTTCATTAGAAATTATCACAATAGAATAACCAAATCTATAAAAAATCTCAATCTTATTAATATAATATTAAGACCATCTTACGTTTTACTAAGCCATGAAATGAAACTGTCGTAAGAATACCTAAGCATACACAAACTTGACAGAACAGAAAAACACTGATAAAAACTAAATTAATTAATATTTGTTGCATACTCCTGGTGAAGTTTTATATAAATCAATGCATATGTTTGAGAAAAGTAGAAAAATGAGAAAATATAAAATATAATTTATCTATACATATGTACATCTTAATATTACAAATGTGCTTTTGCAAACCAATGAATGTGTTTTACCCTCTAAACCATTTCAAGTGTTTTGTGAGAGGGTTGGAAATTTAACACAGCTGCCATTAACTAGGAGGAACCATGTTTATAGGATTATAAGAGTACGCTGTCAGGAGAATCCATAGGCAGATATGCTCATTAAAAAACTCCATTTGGAATCACTCTTTACAGAGATATGAATGTACATTTACTGTAAAAAGAGATAGATATCAGTATATTTTA